ATTTTAAAAGTGTGTTCATGGATGATGATGAAGATCGTGAATTGAGTTTGCGAGCTTCGTTTGAATTGAACATCACTGGCTTTGACCTGGCTCGATCTTCTTTCTGCTCGCTCCATTTCATGGTTCATTCATGGTGGCACAACAAACCGTTTTGCTGCATTAAAAATTCTGTCGTTTCTTCCGAAATTTCTTAATGTGTTTGGTTGCAAAGAAAATAGTGAAGGAGACTAATAATACCTCTCTTCCACTGATAATTTTGTCTGTTAGCAGCCGGGGATGTGACTAACCCGACCCGGCGCATGTTACCAGTTTACTTTTGGCCAATAACAAGCAAAACACATACACGAAGATCGATGGTCTTAATTAACTTTCTTGTTACCATTTTGCCCTTTCTGTATATGCAAGACAAAGATTCCTTTACTTTAGCTTGTAACAGCCATGCATGCTTTTCTTGCTTGAGGCAGAGTGACTCCTCGGACAAAATGAATGAAGAACATATCATCGCTGTCTGTCCTGAACAAGTCTCAACACAAACGACCCCATTGAGGTCTTCGACTTCCTCAAACAACGTCGTCATTTCAGTGGACGAAATCAGTGTATCCATGGAAGACGCAGCAAATGCTACGTATCTGGAGGCAGCAGCAATGTCATCCGGAGAGACGAGACAGTGCCGATTTTGTCATGGGGAAGACCTTCTGAGACGCCTGGAAGCACCCTGCGGTTGCAGTGGCACTCTGCGGGTATACATAAAAACTTCATCCTATATCGATAATCTATTTAGACGCATGTGTGTGTGTGTGTGTGGTCTATAGTTTACTTCAATATGTTATTGGTCGCCATATAGCTTATATTAAATATAATTACTACTTCCTCCTCCTCCTCCTCAGATTCAGATCATGCAATTAAATGACCAGTAGTATCTAATCTAAGATTAGCGAATTAATTAACTAGGATATCAAATCGAAAGCTCATATAATTACATTTTGCAATTAATGTTGTCAAATATGCTTGACCGGAAAACTGACTGGAATTCTTTCTCTACCTCTCTTCACGGCATGCCACATAAAGTACGCCCACAGGAGTTGCACCACTGCTTGGTGCAACACCAAGGGCAGCATCGTGTGCGAGATTTGCGAGCTGGTACGTACGCAGAGCCCCTTTGCTGCCACTTATTCATGAATTCGTACTTTTCTGTGTTCGCGCGATTGTGGACATATACACAGCTGAATTAGAGTCCCCTTCACAGTACACACTTCAACATATACTACGCTTTCGCTTGAGATTTCGCATTCCAATCATCATATTTTATAGGCTCGATTAATATTATTTGCTGCGTAACTTAAATTAGTCTTTACATGATTTGGAATATGTTTATTTAATGTGCGCGCGCGCAGCCCTACGGGCCTGATTATGCAGTGACAGAAGAATCATCAACCAACACGAGGCAAGTCCTAGCCCTCTATATATATGTTTTCTCTCAATCTGTGTGTGTGTGTGTGTGTGTGTGTGTAAACTTGTCTGTATCTTTTATGATATTGGCAGAGTGGTGATGGAGAGTGAGAGTTCGATGAGTACTCCTACCACCATTACGCAAGTGCAATCCCCTCTGCAGCAACCAGATCAGCAGAGGGCAGCTTCTCTTGCTCGGTGGGCCAACCTGATGGTTCCCTGTCGTGGCTTACTCTACGCCACCTTGCTCGTCCTCGTAATACCTCATACTTAGCTTCAAACTCTTTCATTTCAAAGTCAACAATCGGCCCGCGGCAATGTTCTCAGTTGCGAAAACAAACTAGTTTACCGAAATTTATTAGTTCCTGGGTCGCTCGGGTAGGTTTTCAATATTGGTTATAAAGTTTTGCCTCTGCGTATGGCTGGTGCAGTTTCTGCTGGCGCTGATAGTGAATGATGTCTTCTCCTTCACCAAGACAACCAAAAAGGAGCCAAAGAAAGCCTTCAATGTCATGTTCGTGGTAAGAGGATTATACTGTGTGTGTCTGCTTATAGCTGACACTAGAATAATGGTTTTTGATCATATGATCTCTAAGAAATTAACTAACTAGTTCAAATCTGGTGACAGGTTATTATGATGCTGCTCGCACCCTTCTCTCTCCTGTCATGCTTTTACGAATGCCGGTAAGTTGGTTAATCGATAATTAGTTGCAGCCATGACCTTTTAGTTCAGTACTCCATTATTAGATTACGCTTTTCAATATATATAGCAATATCATAAAGCTTTTCTTATGAATTTTGTGAACTGACATAGAGCTATGATCCAAGAGCACTTCGCGGAAAGGAATCGGAGAGCTGCGGCGGCGGGACAAGTTCGAGCATCTAGAATCTGAGAGAACCAGCTTCCAATTTTATTTCCTTTGTTTTATTGTGCGTTTTATAATATATATGAATAAGAACCTGCAGGTCTTCGTGCTGTTTAATTTGTCTACCCGTATGTAGTAAAACCTATTGATGCTGCTTATGAGACATTGCATGTATCTGTCTAATCTCTGCACTGCTCTTTCCCTGTCCTAAGCCCATGCCATAGTCGCAAACAACTTAAATCCAACAGCCCAAACGAGTTGTCCAGGTAAGAAAAAAAATTCCATGTCCAGACTAACTGGTTAATTTACATACGAGTGTCTGTCTTAGGAATTGGCAATTAGCAACCTATTCCTTTGACGCCAGACCTTTTTGTGATGAGCGTGAATCTAAAAAGAGAGATTAATTTCAAAAGACCAACCTTTCGGAAGAAAAAGCTTCTTAAACTGACTAACCTCACATCCAATGTTCCCATGTCCCAAAATGGACCGCCGTCTCACGATATCTCCTAGACATATAACTTATTTAAACATCCAATTCATATCCCTTGTATTACTGTTTCATGATATATATACCCACAAACACGAAAATTACTTTTTAATACTATATATATGATTTATTATCTGCATCTGACATTAATGAAGCTCATAAATTATTGAATTGTTTGATACCTTCATTATTTTCGAAATGAACAGTCATTTAAATTCATTAATTTAGTTTCTATCTTTTTGGCCACTTATTAATTTAGTAGTAGTATAGTAGTTGGTTTTACCTTTTTTTTTTTTGGGTACCAAAAGGAGCTTAGCTCAGAACTAAACACTAATTGTATGGGGAGTCATTACTCCCTCACGGTCATTCTTCATCAGTCTCAGGATCTCTTCCGGAGGTTGGCTCCAAACCCGTACCTGTGTGGTTTGTTTCCTTCCCATTGAGGCTAGTTTATCTGCACAATAATTTCCTTCTTTGTAGACGTGCTTCAATCTAATCGACCAGTCCCTTGCAAGCAGTTCTCGAATTCTTAGACACAGATTTTGGCAGTCCTCTAGCATCTCCTTCTTTTCCATGGCCGTAATTAACTCAAGAGAGTCACTTTCCACTTCGATCAGCTTGAATCCCAGGTCCCAGCACAGTTTCAGTCCCTCATACAGTCCTATTGCTTCTGTCTCTAGAGCTTCGACCCAACAGAGCCTCATAGAGAAGCCACTTAGCCATTCTCCACAATCTTCTCCTATGATACCTCCACACCCAGCATCATTTCTCGCCATCCACTACCCATCCACATTCAGTTTGCACCAGTTCATCGGAGGAGGCAACCAGACTACTTGAATCTCTCGGGTCCCCCTATCTGTGCATGTATTTCCATCCCATCGCTGGCTGTAGTATTCCAGGAACTGAGTGATTAAGGAGGGCGCATTATGTGGCGTTTCATAATTCTCTTCATGTGTACTCAGGTTCCGCCACTTCCAAGCAAACCAACATCCTACTGCGAAGATTTCCGGTCCCCAGCGTTCCTCTTGCTTTCTTCTTCCTGGTTTCAAGCTGTGCAGTATCCAATTCCTCAAGGATTTGGAGAAAAAGGATTGCCAATGCTTCTGCGGAACAAGTCTTTTCCATATATGTGTTCTTTGAAAGGAGAGATGGTGTTACCTTTTTTGGTACAGAAAAGTTGTCTCATTCTTCCTTATTGATATGTCGTCAAAATGTTTTATTCCGCCAATTTTTTTTTTAACTAGGTAAATTTTTTAGGAAAAAAATTTTTTTAAAAAGTTTCTTATGTAATTTTGTTTAAATTAGCTCATTGGTCACAATCCCAATTCTTCGTTAAATCATAAGTGTTTAAACCCTAAAATTCTACCTATAAGTCATTTTACCCTAACTATATATTTAAGCTTAATTTAGGTGACTTGTAGTACGTTGACACTCACAAATCACAATTTTTTTGACACTCACAAATCACAATTTTAAGTTTGCGTCCATCAATTGAACTAAAATGTAAAATAATTCATTTTTATAAATTTTAAATGAATTTTTGTCCCATAAAAAGTCTATATCGTCAGGGAAAAAAAATGTTTGTCACGAGCGATTGAACTAAGAGAAGGTAGTAATAAACAAGCGGGCCGCATTGAAAGCCCTAAGGTAACTTGTTGGGAAGCTAGGCCTGCAGCCGCAAGGTCCATGTCTGGGCGCCATGTAAAAGTATCCATACTTCATTTTTTCCCCTTTCCACAGTCCAATTGCCACTTAGTTAATGCGTTATCGCAAGTACAAAACTCACGCAACATGATCCTATGGAAGAAACTCAAGTCATCACTGCTACTAATATACTCCCTCCGTTCCTTATTATAAGAGACAAATAACCAAATTACGTTGATCAAAAAAGTAATTAAAATTAGTTAAGAACAATCAATGTGTAAAAAGTATAATTTTTTTTTCCAAAAATGCCCTCATTAATAAGGAGAGAGAGCATGAGAGAGAACAATTAAATTATTAAAAAAAAGAGAAGTGAGAGGGAGAGAGTGTGTGAATTGGAAATAAAATAAATATGGGTAAAATAGGAAATCAACACAAAAAAGTAGAGACAACTTTTAAGTGTCTCTTATATATAGGAACATGCTATGAGCATCAAATGTCTCTTATAATAAGGAACGGAGGGAGTAACTTGTAAATGACAACGTGGCGTGGCAGCCATTAGAAGTGCACCAACATTACACATACTACCCAGTGTCGTTAGGACACACTGGATCAGCAGTAATTAATTAATGACCGAAGAGGTACAAATAATTTATACGAGAGAGGATAAAGTTCAAGGGCATTTGGGTCCTCCCTCCTTGGTCTTCCAGTTATTGTAGCAAGGGCACACAGCTTTGTTGCCATAATAGCCAGGAGGCACACACAGGCATTTCCTGCAGCACTTCTGACAGAAAAACATGCACGCTTTGTGGTACTGTGTCTTCTTGCACCTCCTTGAGCATTCTGATGGGCATTCTGCTCTCCCGTTTCATTGTTATACTCACACTCTTAATCATATATATACATATAGGCATAAAAAAACACAGGACATTAGTGAAGCAAAAAACTTAACTAACTTACCGGAGCTCTTGAGACTGCCCGGTCCAAATTTTTTCTGCAAGCAGAACACTAGGTCAAAACTTACCCTCATCATCATCAAGAAAACGAAGAATGGAAGTGGAGTGGATAACTAGTGAGGGTACGTTAATTACCTTGTCTTCGTAGTGGTGGCCTCCGTGCCCATGAGAAGCCATGACCTGCATAAGTAGTAATATATGAGGGACCATCCCACCATTGAATCTCTAGCAGTAATTAACATCCAGATCTGAACAAAAGAGTAAAAGGTGGCGCTTTTTATGTGTATATTAGTTTAATGTACGAGAGTAGCTAGAGATAGAGAGAGACCAAACCATTGTTTGAAGCATGGAAATGAGCACGAGGACCAATATGAGCGCTGCGAGAAACCTAGCCATGATCACCTTCAGGAAGGGGAGCTGAAATTTGACGGAATCAGAGAGAAGGCAAAATGGAGGGAGAGCATCAATCTGATCGGAGGTGTATGGGTGTGTGTGTGTGTGTGGAAGTCAGAAGTTATCGGGCATCCTCATGGACAGGGAAGGTGTTGAGTTTAACATTTTGTGAGAGGTATAAATAGAGTGAGTGAGTGGTGTGGGATCATCACTGAAGAAAGATGGCTTCTACTTCGATCGTACGGCCATGAGCATATCATTCCATCGAACTTTACCTGACCGGCCATTGAAGACATCTGTTTGGCCGTTGCATTGAAGGCACATTGAAATAGGTTAGTTAAGCAGTTGGGGATAAGCAGGCAACTGAATATTGAAAAGGGAGAGGAATAACAGTTTAAAATGAATTTCATCCTAAATTTTTAATTTGATTTTCAGACAATTCTAACCTTATAATTTTAATTTTTTTGTGCTTTACTGCTGTCTCCAGTCCTTTATATAAAAGCCAGTTAACTAACTTAAGTAAATTAAAAAGATTAGTTAAGTTAGTTATTCAAATAAACAAGTATTTTTTTCTAAAATATCCTTACTAATCATATGTATTAGTTAGAACTATCATTTGATGAAATCTTTATCATGTATGCTACTACTATGAGGACTATTCTGAGGAAAAAAATGAACATATATGAAACAAAATATATTAGAGTCTTATATTTAGGAACAAATTAAATTTCAAATTAGTTTTTATACAAAGTATTGGAGATAGTATAACGTAAGTTCTTTTTATTTGGAAAATAGAAAAAGAAGGTGAGAAGTAGATTGAAGAAGATGGGAGAAGTTAAAAGGAATGAGATGTTTGCAAAAGAAAGAATGGGCGGTACATGTGAAGAATGAGAGTCCGGGAAAACAGGTTAGATATGGAGACGGTGATGGATATTAATGGGGTTGGGCTCTCATTAAATGCAAACCCATTCAATTCCCAAATTTGCTTGCCAAACCCCATCTCTGTGTATTAAATACCTTACCTTCCCCAAACTCAACTTAAATGTGTTCACAAACCTGTGCTTTTTCTGCATTTAATTCCCATCCTTCCCTTTCTTACACATCCCAAAACTCCTTCTCCTTTTTTCTTTATTTTTTTTTCCCCCAGGATAACCCAAGGAGAAGGTGCCCAACTGCCCATCCGACCCTCAAATCTATCTATCCATTTCAAAAGATGATTGTTGCCCACGGCCCACATCTATTAACCAATAACACAACCAAAGCCCAACCAGCCAACTTTTCAGGCCCCATTCCACCTCCATAACATCGCAGCCGGGCTTCCCAAGAAAGGCAAATGAAGATTCGTCCATGCTATAATGGACCCACAGCCGAAAAGGGCAATTAAGAAGATGGCGACATCTATATCAAATGTTTATAATATTGAAACCGAACTACAATGTGACATGAAATTGCGTATCAAGTAACGGAGCTGTGTGCTGTCTTAATCGGAGATTACGGGGCGGTGCTATGGAGAGGACAATAATTCAGGTGGTTAGGCCGCATCCGCCACACTGCTCACAACTTCTAAGCAGTCTCCTGTATCGCCCATAGGAAGCATGTCTATATACGTGTTTTATATTATACAAAAGAGGTTTTACAATTAGAACTGGAGGTAGTATAATGAAATTGCCTGCGAGTGTAGTGACATTATTGCCCTCCTTATTACTTTGTTTCTCTCTGGACTATGATTTCTTTTCTTTTTGGGGGGGGGGGGGCTCTAGATTATGAGCTTCTGGTTGGACTTTTTTTTTCCTGAGGAAGAGGAGACGCGTGTAGGCCCAGAAAATCGTCATTTTGGGATGCCAACTTTGTGAAACGGCGTGGGGTTGAGATTTGTCAGACGCCATTATTGTGGACAAATGACAATGAAAGCTGCCGAGATATTTGGAGGCCTGTTTCACCCTTCGCGGGCCTCTCCTTCTTCCCTCGCCTTACTGCGCCCGCAAAAATTAACTCACCCAAATGCTCACAAATATTTACCTCACTTGCTGGGCTTCTATCAACAAAACCCAATAAAGTGTTTTGTCTCGAGATGGCCAGCTCACCGGAATGATTAATTCAGACCAGCAATTGATGCCCCCTTGTTCCATGGTTAATTGCTCCCGTTGTTAACAATATGACATTTCTAATTATTTCACAGAAATTGAGAAAAGTTGTTAGAAGTATATCCTTAAAAATGATCAAAAGTTGTTACTACTTTCCAAGACTACCTTCCTATGGAAACCAAAGTATCTAATTAATTATTTTTACTTTCCCTTTATATAATCTCTCTCCACGATACAATAAATAAGGGAGTTGTGAGTTATAATCAGTGGATTTCTTTTTAAACTATTGTGAAGTGTTTTCTTTTTTTTTTTTTTGGGGGGGGGGGGGGGGGACGGGGTTTGCACAACGATTGTGAAGTGTGGTGTCGTCTGTTAGGGAACGTAAAGAGATCCGCCGAAACTTGCAACAGAAATTCAAAATGGTCTCAATTATTCCTTTTTGGGAAGCAGGGGAATTCTGGCAATTCCGGGAGACAGAAGAAATGAAAATCGTTGGCCAAAAAAAAAAACAAGAAGACATGAAAATCGGGTAATGGAGGTTATAGATAACATGATCAATATGGGTGGCAATAAATGAGCTGTTATGGGTCATGTGCGGACTATGATGACCAAAATTCGGAGGCCAATCATCTCCCTTAGAAATTCCAAAACAATCATACGACGAATTAAGGACGTCTCCAATGACGCATCCTCTATGGTAAATTGCCATGCCAATTTTTACTGAAGTAGCAGCACACACCAATATGGTCCCCTAAATGGTACTAACATTAACTCTCTTTCCATGTACTCTTTCGATCTTAATATAAGACCCATTTAACTAATTTAATTAAATTAAGAAAGTTATATAAGTTAGTTAATTATAAGAAAAGTGACACGTTTTTCCTAAAACATCATAATCATCTTTCTTAATACCTCATCTCTCTCTTCTACTTGATTATGGTTGAAGGAATATCTATAGAGGTAATTTAGAGAAAATTGATAAATATGAAAAATAGATCTTATATTTAGGATCAAAACCAACTCAAGAATTGGGTCCTATATTAAGAACCAGAGAAGTATATATACTAAAACTACAAACAATATCTTATAATTAAGACAAGAGATAGTATAGTTTTGGTCCCGCATTACTGCTTCCTTGCTACACTCGGATGCAAAATTGTGTTTGAATTTAACTTCTAGAGCACCGTATCATGTTCCGTGGCCGCATGTGTTGGATCATCCCAATCCCAAAACGGGACATGAGATTCTTCTTCACGATGCTCTGGGTTTGGGGAGCGGAGTCCCGTGACTGTGAGATTCCATTCAAGAATGTCTTGGCATCTCCCAGTTCAGTAAATCGAGCTGCAAACCTTTTCTATAGAGGTTTGTTGTTGTAAGGGAATGTAACAGTATTATCAGTTTGGTGCGGGGTTATATATTATGGCCAAAATGGGGACAGAAATAAACAAAAATAATTAAACCTGAATTATTCTGTGTGAGAGAGGTTCATGACGCTTCTTTTGTAAAAGCCCATTTATATTGAAGTTTCAAAAGATAGAACATAAAAACTTTTTATATGATTACTGTAACTACCCAAAGTGATAGTTTATAAAGGTGTGCATGAAGCCCAATGCTGTTAAGCATAAGTGAGAAGTGAGTGTTAGAGGTGTGTATGAAACCCAAATGCCCGTTAAACCCGCCCAAGCCCGAAGAGAAATTGCCCAGCCCAACCCGAAAAAAAAGAGCCCGAAAAAAAATGAGCATATTTGGGCTGGGCATTTCATGGGTAGGGATGGGCATAGGGCAGGACATGCTGCCCTACCCATTTGGCCCTGCCCGGATTATATATATTATAATTTATAAAATAGTATTAATATATTGGGAGAATCACAAATAAAGACCCTCCAATATGTAAAATAACAGATAGGTCACCTGAAAAAGTGAAATTACTCATAAGGACCGGGTCTCAAATTGCCATTATAAAATCATGGCCAAATTACCAAAATACCCCTCTTTAATTTTTTTTTTTTTAAAAAGAAAGCCACTGCCTCACTGGAATCCAGCCTCCGGCCGCTTCTGGCGGCATTCTTTTTTTGTTTTTTTTAATAGTGGGGGAAGTGAGGTTGGGGGGATTTGATCCCCCAACCTAATGCTTCCCAAAATAAGGAATGACCATTGAGCCAACAAATTTTTGTTAACATTATGATGCAAAAAAAAAAATAAGTTAACTCATTTACTCTTGTTCCAGGTGATAACAACAATACATTTGGAAATAACACGTCTGGAATAAAAATTTAACAATATTTTTTTTTATAACAATAAATTTTGTTGCAGGTAATAACAACAATATATTTAAAAATAACAAGTTCTGATTATAAAATAACAAGTTAAGAATTAAAATTTAACAACACGTTTTTTTTTTTTATAACAACACACTTTGTTTAAGTGATAACAACAATACATTTAAAAATAACAAGTTCTAATTATAAGATAATAAGTCTGGGATTAAAATTTAACAACACGTTTTTTTATAACAACACACTTTGTTTTAGGTGATAACAACAATACATTTGGAAATAACAAGTCTGGAATTAAAATTTAACAGCACTTTTTTTTACAACAATTAATTATTTTATACTTTTGGAAAATAAATTATTTATAACTTATAAAAAGTACTTGTAATCTATTTAATTTGCTAAAAAAATAATTTTTATCTCCAATTTATAATCAGAACTTGAAGTATAATTTTTTAAAGATTAAAAATACTTTTTTATTGTTCAAATTTATAAATAAAATTTAGGGACAATGGCAACACACTTTTAAAATTTTTTAAAATTTTTTTTAATCTATATATCCATACAACTTATTATAAATCAAACTACTTCTTATAAATTATAAATAGTACAATTTATTGTGGATTAAAAATACTTTTTGACTGCTTAAATTTATAAATGAAATTATCTCTAATTTATAATTAAAAAATACTATTTTATTCTTTAAATATAAAAACTATTTTTAATATTTAAAGAATGAAATAATATAAAATTTATACTATGATTAATAGATTAAAAATACCTAATTA